TTCTGCAGTCTGAGGTTGTGCGGTGGTTGTAAGCTGCACAGCACAAACAAGGGCAGCAAAATCTGCATCTAGTCCATAAATGTTTTATCATACTGTAAAAATGACTAATTTTCACTGGGTTTAAATTTCACTGATTTACCATTTCAGGCATATGCAGTGGGTTTTAAATTCACGGTTTCGTCATTTAGATAATGTGTTCTATTCTAAATTTTACATATTCACTGTGTTTTAATTTAGCGCATTTTTCCAGTCAGCGAAATAAGCTAAATTAAAACCCAGTGAATAATTACCCCCTTTACAGTATACTGTGGAATACTTTATTTTCGCTGGAACTAATTTTTTGGGCATTTTGTATGTAATTTATTTTCACTGATTTTTGATGAATTTAATGTGAAATATAGAAAAAAAAGTATATTCGCTGGATTTTTTTCACAGAATTATCTCTTCAGCGAAAATAGCGAAAATAAATTCCAGGCGAAAATAAAGTATTCTACAGTACTTTATAAGTGTAATTACAATTTTTACCATGCCGTGACTTCAAACTCACAACATTGATTGATGAAAACCAGGCACACTGGACTAGGTGTGATACGAGAAATTATTGTCCTGATGTGAGGGCGCACTTCCCATAGCGTTACAAAGCCGTTGTTCTTTACTAATGTTTGAAAAAAGTGGAACTTACACTTTTTCAATAAATATGATTTTGTAGGATCTTTCATGAGCTTTCTATGAAGAGGGGGGGGTGCATAATGCATTTCATTTGTTTGAAATTATATTGATTATTAAATTTCCCAGCTTGAGCAGAATTTTGGTCCAATTGTTTTTTTAAATGTTTAGAAACAATTAGTTTGGTCATAAACTTCCTAGGCTGTAGACTTCAGTTGTCATAGATTATCAGAACTAATTTTTATGTTTTATGGTTTGATAATTTGTCTCTGCATTCAGTGATCCGAAGACTATTTAGATTCGGCTAATTGTACGTGTTATAGGTTAGTACGGTGTAGGAACATTGTGTGATCAAATATGTGTAACGATTACAAATTTGAAAGTATCTTTTATTGAATAAATATTATGTATTTATAAAATATATAGTTGTATACATTAGATATGACATGACACCTAGATTTCAGAATGCTGTTTTGATTGAAATTTGATTAATCAAAAGGAAACAAACTCATAAATGCATTTATTATATAAATATAAATTTAAAATGCGTATAATTAATTAACTTTGGTAGCTTACATAAATGCCTGGTTATGATAAAGCGAGTACAGTGGTGATGGGTTATAATTCACAACACTAGGTATAATCTTGTAAATGACCAGCCATTTAAAGCGAGAGGGTCGTCACCTGCGCACACGACAATCGAGTCCCAAGCAATAACACGCGCTAAGAACGCAAAGGCTCATAGGTAGACACTTGTTTCTGAACAATGACATGCTATGGCCACCTGATGCATGCGTAGATGACGGCTCCCTCGGTTTAAAGGTTAAGTGACGTTTCAGTGATCATGATTAATTAAAACACGACAAATTTATTCTCTATTAAGGTAGGTAGGTGGGTGTGTGGGTCAAAGGTTATTACAATTACATTTCGTGAAAATGCACTGCAAGATTCTGAATTCAATTAAACCTAAAAACAACATGAGATGGAGGGTGTCACTCTATATGCCGTTACTACCCCATGTGCGTTCCAAATTTAGCGGGGAAAGGGGGTGTTTTTCA